TATCTTTATAAGCTACTATATAGCGATTATCTGCTACCGTTATTCTAGCTAGATCTATTATACTAAGTAGCCGTATAGCTACTAGCTTACGGTCTACGATAACTTATACCTAGTCTATAATATAGTTAGCTTAGATACTCTTTAATATTTCGCTTACTTTGGAAAAAGACGGTATAAAGTACGCCGAAAACGTACGTTAAAGCCTTACGGCTATTAGCGATAAGGCGGATAGTATTACGAAAACCTACTACTAATGGATAGACGACGGAAACTTCGAGAGGTATAAGGGTATAGAGGCGGCTGCCCTCAAAGATACTCTCCTATCGTTAGATAAATTATACAAATACCTCTCCGAGCCTAATTACAACTAGGCTACGTACTTGGATAAGATAAGCGACTATCTAGTAGTCTTCGTCTATAGCGTCGAAGATATAAGGTACAGCGAGGAGAGGCGTAAGGCCAAGGCCTACTACTACGTCGCTACCGTCTACACTTTAAGGTTTATAATAGCCAAAGTTGCTATTACGTAACGTAAACTTACTAGTAAGAATATCTAGCTCTTCGAAGATATATATACGATTTAAGGAGATAGTCAATATATATTTTATAAGGTATAAGTTACGGACGAGTTTACCTTAAAGTTTAAGGAACTACTAACTTCTTCTAGCGCTTTTTTAGCCGTTATCGTACTAGCGGACGTACTCTATATTATCTTAGAAGAGCTCGAATCGACCCTTAATATAGCGGTTTTCGAAATATAGTAGACTACGATGGACGACGGAATTCTATACGCTAAGGTGTCTAGTATAAGCTGTACAACTAAGTACTACGATACGCAAACTATACTAAATAAAGAGACGGGCGCGAAATAAGTACTAGATAGGGAAATAAAAGACAAGTTAAAGTAGACGATAATAGATTATAAATATAATACGATAAACTAGATTAGACGGATAAAGAATAAAACGGATAGTAGAAGAGCTACTTACCTTAAGCGCTTATTTAATAAGCCTAATAATAGTACTAGGTTCTATAACCTTAGCTTAGGAGATATAGGACTTAACTTATAGTTAGATACGTAGGATAAAGCTTATTAAGGAGTTTCCTTATAGATATTTATTAATTGATATCAATTCCTATTAATTAAAGGTTCAATTGAGTTTAATATCTATATTATTATCACCGTCTCTATTATTATACGACGTTCTAGCTAATAGTAACTTTTCGAGCACCAAAATAGACTCTATAACCTTATCCAACTTATTCTTATCTTCTTTAAGCTAAGCCTTCTTTTCGGCTATTGCCAACTCTTCTTAAAGAGATATCGTATATATCCGACGACGCTTAAATCTTCTTATCGAAATAATATTAGATAGACTCTACTACAATTAGAAATATACCTGAGAGTATATAGAGAAGTATCGTATATATCCGACGGCGTTTAAATTCTTATTCTTATCGAAATAATGTTAAATAGACTCTTCTATAGTAGAAAACATACTTAGAAGTATATAGAGAGATATCGTATATATTCGACGACGCTCAAATTCTTCTTATTAAAATAATACTAAATAGACTCTACTATAGTTGGAAATATACCTGAGAGTATATAGAGAGATATCGTATATATCCAACGGCGCTTAAATTTTTTTTGTCGAAATAATACTAAATAGACTCTACTATAGTTGGAAATATGCCTAAGAGTATAGAGATATCGTATATATTCAACGGCGCTTAAATTCTTCTTTTTATCGCTTTAGACTAGATAACTACGATACCGCCGTCCGTAGAGAGATATATAATCGACAAATCGAGTAGCTACTATTAGGTAGTACCCTTTAATATACGTATAGACCTTAAGCTCCTATTAATATAGATTTCTACTTATCTTAGGCGCCTTCTTCGCTATATGGGCTTACTCCTATTAGCGTTCCTCGTCTATTATCTCGCGGTATAGCTAAAGGTAAGATCTAAGCTAAATTTCCTAAAGTCGACGTTAAAGCGTAAAACTCTTTAGTTAGGGTATTATAGTCGACTCTAGTTAAGCTAATAATCTTTACGAATTAATCGCTAAAAGGTACTTTAATTTAGCTTCTTACTTATTTCGTAGCTGAGATCGCTTACGGATAGGGATATTAAATATAATTTTAATCTCGAAATAGCGTAGCTTAGGAAGGTTATAGACGCTATTGAATAGGGATAAGAAGAATACTTTTAGCGTAGCCTTATCTTACTTACGAAGGTTCTTTAGGTCTAGATGCCGAAGGATAGTAAGCTAAGTTGGGACTTGACTAGCGGTATAATAAGATATATAAAGCTAGGTTAATTGTATTAGTAGACTAATTTATAAATTACTATTGGTAGACTAATCTATAGATTATATACTATCTAAGAGGTCGGAGGTTAGCTTGTAGCTAGGAAGGAAATAGGCTAAGCTAAGTAGGCTAAGCTCTACTCCTAATAGATTATTGTCCTAAGCCTAATATTACCTTATTTACTATTTCGATAATATAATTCTATTTGTAAAGCTATAAATCCTCGTTCTTACTACGCTTATTACCTTATTTTATTCGATTAGTAGTGCTTAATTTTTATTTACTTAGAACGGGCGAGTCTCTTCTTTAGCCTAGGCTCTCGTAGGTTAGTAGATAAGTACTACGGTTCTAGCCGCCTAGTGAGCTAAGTGATTGTATTTAGTATAATAGATGAACTATATCTTCATCTAGTCTATTATCTCGCTCTAAGTAAGCTAAACGACGTTTAGGTAGACTTTCTATCCTATAAGCATTAATCTCGTTAAGCTTAGTATTTGTTCGACTTATTGGCTAGCTTAGGTAAATGTATTCGGATACTTCTTAAGCTTCCTTATACCCTAAAGAGTCATTATTTTGATAAATCCTAGCGGTTTATAATAGACGCGAGCGATTTATTATTACTTAATTAAGTTTAATTTCCATTATAAATATTTAGTTAAGTTATAGTTACCTTTAGTTAAAAGCTTAGAAATAGAAGTAGGGTTTAATTGATAAAAATTGATATTAATTAACTATTATATAATACCCCTAAATATATCTAAGGAATAAAAATATTTAAGACCTTACGAATTATTAAGGGTAAACAAACGTATTTAAATATTAAATAGAACTTTGGCAATATATTCTTACGGCTAAAGGCTAGCCGAAATACTAGATAGTATAACAAAATACTACTATAGATTATAATCGTTCTAGAAGACTTTTATTAAATCTCCGACGATATCTTTATTATCGTCGCCGCCTTCCTCTTCTCCCTCGATATATTAGTGGTAGTCCACCTAGCTTATCTACGAACGTAGAGGTAACGCTACGACAACTCTTTATACTTAGGTAGTACGTAACGTAGTATACTAGATCTATAAACGAGCGTCCTTGTACGTTAGTATTCGTAAAATACTTATAGTATACGTCGAAGTCCTAGCCCGTTAACGTAGATAAACCAAAAACGACGAGCTAGGCGGCTAAGGCTAGAGTAGAAAATACTCGGCTAAGATCTAAGATATCTAAGAAGTTATTAGAATAGTACTAGATCGTATTTTAAAGAGTTAAAAAGTAGCTTACTACTACGATTAAATAAGTATTTCCCTTTTTAACTATTAAAGAGGTAATTAGTATAAGCGCCGTCGTTTACTATAAATATCTCTAAAGTAGCTACTAAAGTTACAACGTAAATCTTCTAAAGACCGAAATTGTCCTTATAACTCTTACAAAGTAAAGTAGTAATATCTCCGCTATACTATAAAAGTATAGCTATAAAATTAATATACTTCTTACTCGTCTACGCGCCGCGATTTTAGGTTAGATATCGCTAGCCTTTAAGCTCTAAAAAGGGTATAACGATACTATAGTTTAGCGCCGAAGTACTAGCCGAAAAAGTACTAATATTTAGAAGATACTACTAAATAGGCTTCTTAGACTCGATCTTCTTTTTCTTAGGGGTAGGCGTATCTTTATTATCTTCCTCGTTATTTTAGCAAAGGCGCTTAAGATAAGGCGTAACTTTAAGTCTTTATTCTAATATTAGCTAATAATTCGTAATAAAATAGTATAACTTCTAAGATTTTAAGGCTCCCGAGATTCGGAATGAAATAAGTAGAATATCTATCTCGATAACTTACTAGACTTGGGCTATATCTAAGCCCTTTGAGGATAATCCTTTAACGGCGAGACGGAAGTTTTTATCGCTAACTTTCTCTTTTCCCTTCTAAGACCTCTTCTACTACTATTGCTACTAGCTATCTTCGTCGTCGTCGTCGAAGATAGCGTATAAGTCGTTGAGGTCGAATAGCTTACTACTACGTTCGCCGAAAGCTGGCTTAGGGCGACGCTTCTATCCTAGAAGGATAGATCTACGGAAAGTAGTTATTTCGTATACTAATCGTATAAGTAATAGTATTTAAAGTATAAGACGTAAATAAGAAAAGGTTAAGCGTAAAGATTATCTATAGTTAGAAAGGAAGAGAAGGTAAGTTTTACTCTTATAGTAACAATTAGGGTATATAACCGAGTTACTAAGTACTCGCTAGCTTCGAAGAAGCCTAACGCTTACGATCGAAGTCTTTATTCACTATAATATAGCTATCTCGGCTTCAAATAAAAGGTAATTAATAGGCAATTAACGATATTAGCTTTAATTAAACCTCAACTACTATTAATTAACGTAAAAAGGTATCCTTTAGGGTATTATATAAGTAAATAATACCTACTAAGCTAAACAAAGTACCTAGTATAAGGTTCTTCCTAACGCTACTTCCGAGAAGTTACTTATACTCTAAATCTTTGCGATTTCTCACTGTATTATATTCTATAGAAGGTTCTATATTAGCTTATAACTAGCGAAGAAGTAGGTAAAGTAAAGCTCTACTTTTAATATATCTTTAATTATCTATAGTTTAGCCGATATATATATACGTTAGCTTTTGAATATATCGATTTATTAAATAACCTATATTTAATAAATAGTAAACTCTAATAGTCGAGTAGTAAGATTCTAATTTGATAAGTTAAAGGCTTAGGTTCGATTCCTAATTAGAGTATTTATATATATCCGACGATACTTAAATATCGTCGGATATATATATTTTTATTAAATATATTATTATAATTACTTACTTCTAATATTTCTTTATATTAATATATCGGCCTTATTGTTATATTTCGTCGTCGTATCTTTCTTTTTAACTTAGAGATATTACTACTACGTATATAACTATAATTATACCCCCTTCACCGTTACTCGTACCGTTACTATATATCCTACGCAATTATATCCTCCTATGAGAAATTCGGTCCGAAAGCCTAGTTTATCTATATTAGCGTCTTCTTATTCGTTTTCCTTACGTCTTAGAACCGCTAATACGCCTACTATAGCTTCGCCGTCCGACGTACCTCGGCTAGGCGCTCGCTGTCTTCGACGTCGTCGTATTACCGTACGATATATAACTAAAGGAGAATAAGACGTATATACGCTTTAATCTTAACGTAAAGGCGGTACTTTAGTTGGGGGTACGTTATCGATATAAGTAATACTTATACGCTAGATGTTAAATAATAGGCTACTAAAGAGTAGTCTTCGCCTTCGACGTATAGTAGCTAGACTAGTAAGAACGTTTCGAAGGTCGAAAATAAGTATTAACGTAGCTTATTCGGGTTCGGCGGATAAGCGATTCGCTGAGTTAAGCGAAGTACGTAGAATTGGATTAGGTAAACCTCGAACGTCGATAAAGCGGCGTACTAAGGCAATTAGTATTAGTAGCGAATATAAGATCGTCTAACTTATACGTAGTAAATAAAGCGGTTAATAGTTCTCGTAGCGAACTAGTACTTCGTTATCGCTCGACTTAAAGCGAAGCGCGCGCTTATAGTAGTCTTTACGATCTATATTAATATCCATAGGCTTATAGACTATATAAGATAGTACGATATAGTTGTCGTAGTAATATAAGTAGAAGCCTTATATAAGCTTAAAAGGCTTATCGCCGAGAAAGTTATTAAGCTCGATACTTATATAAAGCTAGGCGCTAAACTAAGTAGTAGCTCTTAGTATATTTGTAACGTAGTCGTCGAACTTAAAAGTTTAGGCTAGTTAGCTCGTATCTCTTATTTAGTCCGAGATAATTTACGCAATTCTAAGAGTACGCCGTCGGCGAAATACAATTTTCGAATATTCGTATAAGCTCTATAGGATCGAGGTTTACTTAGTCGGCCGGATCTATAATATAAGTACTATCGTAGTCCTAAGATACGCCCTATTTCGTAAACGCCCTTATCTAAAAGATAGCGAACGTATCTCTAACTACTTACGAAAGCTACGTCAACGCTCTCGGCTACTTAGGCTACTAGGTAGATACGCGGACTTCGTACCTAAGTAGGCTAAGCATCGCCGCCGTAAAGCCTTTTTACGAGCCTAAAGATCTTAGCGCTAGCTACTATTCGTCGGAGGCGGCTTAGTCGCTTTATAGTAGAAAAGGAGCAAAGTCCGGCTCGTTATCGACTACGGTACCTTCCAAAAGGCTCCCGCTACTACTACCGTTATCGACTTCGAAGCTACTCTTACTTCTAAACCGGATCTCTCTACGAAGAGTAGGAGGAAGTAGGTAAAGCCGAGAATCCTACGATTAGATATCTTTATACTACTAAGCGTCGCTAGTCGGTATAGCTAGGAGGAGCTTAGCTCGCTTCGTCGGAGATACTTCGCTTACGTCTTAGGCGGTCTTCTTTAACGTCTTACTTATTATAGCTAGGCTATCGTACTCCTAATCTTAATCTACACCAACGCGGGTACTATAAGCTACCGTATCGCGTAGAGTTATCGGCTAAGCGTCGACGATTAGTAGCTTTTCGGTATAGAAGTCTTATATATATCTATTGAGGTTAGATATACGAGTAAATTTAGAAGGATAAAGAGTACTTTTGGAGAAGCGCGCTGGATACGAAATATAGCTTATATTTACTCGGTACCAGAGATACGTTCGTAGGAGAACCGAACTTAACGATACTACGGTATATAACGCTTTTAGTAGTCAAAGCGTCGCGTATTATAATATCGCTAGGTACTTATATTTCTAAGACTCTTCGAAAAGAATATAGTAGACGAGAGAGTTATATTTCGTAAATATACTAAGTAATCCTTTTTTTTAAGCTTTTCTAAAAGAAGATACGCTAATTGCCTAACTTTACGTCGGATTAAAGCGAACCGAGATTAATGATAGTTGATAATAGACAAAGACGTTTAATAGAGTTATATTTCGTAACTATATTAGGTAGTTCTTTCTCGGAACTCTTTTAGAAGATACGTTAGTTATTTAACTTTGCGTAGAATTAAAACGAATAGAGAACTTAATAATAATTAATAATCGATAAAGATATTTAAGCGCTTATCTATACCGTTTTTGTAATAAAAATCGCTTAGCGATAGATAATCTAATATTAGATTTTTTCTCCTCTTCTATATACGCTATACTCTTAGAGGATAAGATTAGTTAAACTTTCTAAAGCCTAAATAACTTAGAGAGCGATACGAGAGTCTACGATCTTTCGACTCTAAGTCCGTATAGCCGCTAAGTATTATCGTCTGAAGGGAGTATTTTTCCTAGGAACCCGAGGACCGACTTCGCTTTCTACTTCGTCTCCGCTATACTAGCCGCTATCGCTATCCGCTTTTTGGCTTATCTAAATATATATAACTCGCTTTGCTAACTCGCGTCTTTAGCTTTGGATTAGGTTTTATTGAAACTACTCTAGTTTAGCTACTATAATTAAAAGCGACTCTTCGTAAATAAAAGAACTATCGAGACTACTCTAGTTAATTACTATAACTAAAAGTAACTTTTGTAAGTAGAAGGATTATCGAAACTACTTTAGTTAGCTATTATAATCAAAAGTAACTTTCGTAAGTAGAAGGACTATCGAAACTACTCTAGTTAGCTACTATAACCAAAAGTGACTCTTATAAGTAGAAGGACTATCGAGACTACTCTAGTTAGCTACTATAACCAAAAGTAACTCTCGTAAGTAGAAGGATTATCGAAACTACTCTAATTCAACTACTACGACTAAAAGGCGACTCTTCGAAACTACTCTAGTTAGACTACAACTAAAAGCTAACTTTTCGTAAATAGAAAGATTATCGAAACTATTCTAATTCAGCTACTACAACTAAAAGGCGATTCTTCGAGATTACTAAAGAACTATCGAAACTACTCTAATTCAACTACTATAACTACAAACGACTCTTCGTAAATAAAAAAACTATCGAAACTACTTTAGCCTATTAATACTACTAAATAAGATACAACGCCTTTTCTATCTACTATATACGTATTAAGATATTGTCGATATATTTTCGGTTATAAGTAACCTTTGTATATAATTACTACTTAAGTTATATAATATTTAGAAGAAAAAAAGGGTTATAAGTAAGGCTTGTAGGCTAGAAACGGTCGTTCGATAAGTAGTTCCCTAATATAGGTCAAAGAGATAGTAATAGCAGCGATAGCGGCGATAGCGGCGATAACGGCGATAGCGAGAAAAGGATAATATAATAAGAGATTAAAGCGTAATAGTTGGACTTTAGTAATACGAATATAATATACGATATAATAAACTCTTTAACTAGCTACTAAGGAGTTTATAGTATTATCTATCGTACTTATATACTATACGTCTTTATTACTAAATATAAATTAGAATCTATTATCAACTACCTAGGTAACGATAATTAAATTAATCTAAAGTAAAATAAAATTTCGTCTTATTAATTTATATATATCTTAACATCTTTAATTCAAAGTATCGATATATACTACTTTAAAGATATATTCTTCTACTTAAAGTCGAATTTTACTATATTCCTTAGTATCGATAAAACTATAGCGTTTGTAAATATTTCTAGTAAAATAACGAAGTCTTATATAACCTTTCCTACTACACTTTTGCTCTATATTTGCACTAAGCTAATAACTAGCATATAGTTTATACCTCTATACTAGGAGAAAACACCTAATACAATTTGCCAAAACGCTATTAGTTATAGGCTACAAATGTAAGCTTTTATCTCGAGGCTATAATTATCAATCTTAGGATACTAACTTAAATAAGCTAAATCGTAGGAGCCTATACTTAAAAAGCTAGTACGTCTTACGTATTAGATACCGTCGCGCTATTTATACTAAGAGACTATAGAAGTCAACTCTATTACTATTAAACGAGTTGGAAAATAGATCGTAAGTACTTATACTTAAGCGATATAAGCGCCTTAAGAACCTTAAGCGCTTTAAGAGCGTTGAGAGCGTTAAGAAGCTTAAACGCCTTAAACGTATTAAGAGCCTTAAAAGCGTTAAGCGCCTTAAGTACCTTAAGAGCCTTAAACGCCTTAAGCACCTTAAACACTTAATACTATCGTACTATCTATATTAGAAGACTATAAAAGTTAGCTCTATTACTATTAAACGATCTTCAAGGTATTAACCGTAGTAAGTATCTTAAGATTTAGCATAGCTAAAGTTATATCCTTCGCTATAATAATCTTAATATTTACGTTAGAAGTACAACGAAAGCTAACCTACGTATATTTATATCTAATAAAGACGATAAAATACTCTTAAATTACTTCCAAAAATGTATATTTTATAAATATAAACTATATATCGACTAAACTTCCTTACTTATTTCCTAAACTATATATATATATTAATCTATTTCTTAATTATATCTATACTAGAATATCTCAACGTTATAAGATCTCCTCCTTATCCTCCGCTATATTTTATCGGAGAACTCGGAATATACTTCGCTAATAAGCTATTTAATATTTACCTCTTCTCCTCCTTTTCTTCCTACTCCTCTTCTTTATCCTCTTTATTCTCTTTATTTTCTTTATCTTCGATTTCTTACTCTTACTAATCTTAATCCTTAGTCGAAAGTATAGCCTTTCTTTTTACTATCTTATTAACCTTATCTTATTTAGACGTTAATATTATCGATTTAAAATAGTTGCGGAACTAATAAATAATAAAGTTAACGAACTTTAAGGTAT